AAAGCAAGTATTTATAAGATTATAAATGGAAGATAGGATGGTTAAGGAGGATGACATTGGATGGGGGCTGGGAGATGGGTGGTGAGGATACAGAAACAGTGTAAGTGGAATATCTGCCTGGTAAATAAGACGATTATAATTCTAACAGGTGTCTGTGCCTTGTTAGTTGTGATGGCGGGTTAAGTAATACCACTATGATAATCTTAGGGCAAATAATAAACATTATATAGCCCAACACTCACTTTTTGTTTACAACACTGGGCTGAAAAGCAGGCACACGGGTACAGGTGGGGACCATTTGGAGGGTTATTGCTACAATCTGCATGTGCTGTAGTGGCCTTTTGGGTGGTAGAAGGACCTAGGGGGAAAGATGGGCATTTTGAAATGAATGTGAATTTATAGACAAACTCTTACAGCTATATACAGGCTACTCTCAGATTCACTTTTTTTTTTTTTTTTTTTTTTTTGAGACAGGGTGTCCTGGACTCACTTTGTAGACCAGGATGGCCTCAAACTCACAGAGTTCCCCCTGCCTCTGCCTCCCTGAGTTCTGGAATTACAGGCCTGGGCCACTGAGCCCAGCTCAGATTCACTCTTGTTGTGGAGGTTGCTTCAAACTCTAAAGCCTTCCCCTGGGATTACAGGTGTGAACCACCTCACTCAGCAACCTGAGATACACTTTAAAGGTGGAAGCAAAGCCAGGTGGGGATGTAAAGCCTGAAGGAAAGGGAGGACTGGCCAGTGACTGACCGGGCTTTTTCAGCTGTAAAAGGAAAACGGGGCTGGAGAAATGGCTCAGAGGTTAAAAAGCACTGGCTGTTCTCCCAAAGGTCCTGAGTTCAATTCCCAGGAATCACATGGTGGCTCATAACCATCTATATTGAGATCTGGCGCCCTCTTCTGGCCTGCAGACACATGTGCAGGCAGTATAGTGTATAAATTATATATATATATATAAACTTTAACAAGTTAAAAAAAAAAAAGAGAGAGAAAACAGCAGCACAGGGTAGAGTGAGAGCTAGAGGACAGCCTTCTTCAGGCTCCAGGGATGCAGAGTGACTGTAGGGCTTGGCTGTCGCTGCTGGAGGGGACGCTTGTGAACCTGGAGCACACTTCCTCTGAGGACTTCAAGACATCCTCAGCTGCTCTTCACATCCTTTCCAGTCACCGTTCTCTTCAACCCTTTCCCCTCTGTCCCTGAGCCCCAACTCAGTCCGCAGCTTCCCCTCCTTCCCAGAGCTCTTGACAAAAGAAATCTTGATCGGCAGACAATTCTGTGTTTGACTGCAATCTTTAGTCCTTGAGCCCATCTGGGTGAAGTCAACTCATTGCATGGCAAAGCCATGAGGCTGGGGAGGATGTCATCCTTTGGAGAGTTGCTGAGCCTGTTTGCTTATCACCATCACTGTTTGATTGGCTGTAACCTTGAAATTCTTCTTTTAATTTTTTTTTTTTTTTTAAACACAGCGTTCTCACTCTGTGGTCCGAGCTGGCTTTAAATTCATCATGTAACCTAGGTGAGTCGCAAGCTAGCAGACTTCGTGCCTCTTGCCTCCATCTCTAGAGTCTAGAGTACTGGGATTATAGGCATGAGTCACCTGGTCTGGGTTTAGAATGCATGTGTTAAAATATATAGAAGATGAATTTTCTTTTCTTTCATTCTTTTTTTTTTTTTTTTTTTTTTTTTGAGACATGGCTTCAATCTGTAGCCCAGGCTGGTTTCAAATTCATCGTGATGCCCTCTGAGTACTGGGATTGTAGGCCTGGGCTACCACTTACGGTAAAACTGACCTTCTTAGGTTTTTATATCATTATAATTCTTCATGCTGCCAAATAGAGACTCTGTGTTCATTACAAAACAACTCATCTGCCCCTGCGCCCCATGCCACTTTTTGTCTTTATGGATTGGGCAAATGGTATTTAGCAAAATGCCGTCAAGGTCCATCAACAGCATAGCATGTGTCAGAATTCTTTCTTTTTAAGAATGAATAATATTCCACTATCCGTGTACACCAAATTTTGTTTATCCATTCATTCATCTATGGCTCTGTCTTATTTTTCAGTAGTAAGGAAACTTTAAAGAGGGTACCATGCGGGAACAGTGATGAAGAGACTCAGAAGACTGTGCTACCTTTTAAAACGTATCAGTTACAATTGTGCACACGTGTGTGCGAAGGCCCCGCACTCCACGTGCACACATATACCTGGTGCACGTGAGGAGGTCCGAGTGGCACTTTCGGGACTCGGTCATCTCCCTCAACCTTCATGTGGGTTTGAGGTGTTTAACTTGGATTTAAAGTTTAATGACAAGTGCTCTTACTTGCCGAGCCATCTTGCCAGCCTAGTTCTGTCCTTAGACTACTATCAATAAAGCTGCTGTGAGCATGGGCATACAGTTATCTCAGTGTCTGCTTTCAGCTCCTTTGGGGAATAATCCAGAAACTCCTGGATTATTAGATACAGCTTCCTTAGAGACATCGGTTCCAGTCTTTTTACCCTTTTCCCAGTGTAAAGTAGTGAAACGGCGCCTCCCACATGCCAGGGGTAACTCGGCAGCCCACATCCCCAGCGGCTCAGTTTAGTTTTCTAACTTTTGTTCTGAAGTGTCTTTGTCTGTAAGTGTACTGTCTGCATGCCCCGGAACGGGAGTTCCTGAGAGTTGTGAGGCACCTGGTGTGGGGGCTGGAAACCTAACCTGGGTCCTCTGCAAGAGCAGCCAGCTTTCTTAACCAGTGCGTCTCTCCATCTTCTCAGCTTCTGTTTTTAAGAGACAGATCTCATTCTGTAGCTCAGGCCGGTCTTGAACTCATGACAATCCTCCTCCCTCAGTTTCCTGAGTGATTCCTTCTTTCCTTCCTTCCTCCCTCTCTCTCTTTCTCGCTTTTAGTTTAAGACAGAGTTTTACTATGCTGGCCAGGCTGCACTTGAACTTCCAAACCCCCTGCCTTAGCCCCAGCCTCCAAAGTAATTGGGATTGCAGGCCCGTGCCACTGGGCCTGCCAGAATTCTTTTCTGTTGTTGTTCATTTTGTCTTCTTTAAAGATTTAGATTATTTTTAATTATGTGTATGCATGTTTTTCTATGTGGTATATACACTGGAATGTGGGTGTCTGCCAGAGCCAGAGGAGCTGGGTCCCCTGGAGCTCAGTAGTGATGCTGTGAGCCAAACTCCGTCCTCTGCAAAAACAGTATTTGCTTTAACCACTGAGCCATCTCTCCAGCTTTGACAAGAGTTCTTCATATAGTTTGGATATTAATCCATTCAGATATGTGGTTTGCACTTTTTTTTTTTTTTTTTTTGAAACAGGGTCTCAGGCAGCCTTGAACTGGTTTTTTTTAGCTGAGTTGACAGGGAAGTTACTGTGTCTCTTGTGTGAGTACTAGTCTATCAGAAAACAGTCTAGTGACTGAGACAAGTCAGCCGGCCACCTCTGAACTATTGGTAGCATCCTTTGGGGCACACAAATTAACTTTTAAGTACAGTCCATCAAATTTTCTCTTGTGTTCACTGTGCTTTTTGGTATTATGGTCATAACTTAAAAAAAAAATTTTTTTTTTTCAGAGCTGAAGACTGGACCCGGGGCCTTGCCCTTGCTAGGCAAGTGCTCTACCACTGAGCTAAACCCCCAACCCCCATAACTTAAAATTTAAAAACAGCTTAAGTGAAAATAATTAATTGAAGCCAGAGCCAAGAATCTCATTTTACACCTGGCCATCAATTAAGCAAAGAAGCTGGTGAACTCACTCAGGCAGGCACTAGTTAATAAACGTTGGATGAGTGGCTCTCGACTGTGGGTCCAAACAATCCTTTCACAGGGGTCGCCGACAGCCATCGGAAAACACAGATATTTGCCTTACAATTCATAACAGCCGCAAAATTATACTTACGAAGTAGCAAAGAAAACAATTTTATGGTTGGGTTCACTGCAACATGAGGGTTGTATTAAAGGGCCGCAGCATTGGGAGGAGACGGGTTCCTTCCCAGACTGTCGCTTGCCCTGCACGTAGACCAGGCTGGTGGGCGTGGGCGGCCTTCAAAGAATGCGTGGTTTTTTTCTTTCTTAGAAGTGTGCACGATTTCCCCTTGTGTTAGAAAAAGAAAGAGTTGAGAATGAAGAGTTACTTCTCTCATTGCCGGGCTTTTTATTAGAGCAAGGCCACCCCTACTCATAATGAACTCGGCGTCGGCTACCTAGAGCTACAGGTCTAAAGACCTGCAGTCCCTGCCCAGTCCGCGTTTTGTGGCTTTTCAGTACGAACGGCTGAGGGTTCCTCTGCCCCTCGCTCCCCACACACCGGGAGCACGCGTGATTGGCGACTCTTAACGGACTCACGGAGTCTCTCATCTAGGCCTCCCTTCGTGGTTTTAAGACAGGAATAAACCTGGTGGCTAGGAGAGGGGACGGGGTAGAGCAACTTTTCCAGCCCAAAGGAGGTGCTGTTTTTAGAAAAATTAAACCCAACAGCAACCCACCTCCGGGAGCTCCTAAGGTTTTAGAGCTGTGATCTCGTCCAGCAGAGACAGCGCCTGTCCGGGATCTGCGGTCCTCAGCGTGCGCGGCGGTCCCCGCCAACACCACCTTACGGGGCGCTGGCAAGCTTCAGACCCCGAGAACCGCCGCCCCCGCCCCCGGTGCCATCCGACCAGAGGCCGGCCGCCCCCCGCCCGCCCACCCTGCGGCCTCGCTGCCCCCCAACTCTGCCACCGCAGACGGCCCGCGTCCCAGAACCGCGCCCAGCGAGCAGCGCCCCCGCGCGCGGAGCGTGGAGCGCGGGCTGCTCCCGGATCCCGCCGGGGCGCGGGTCGGGGAAGCCTGACCCGGGAGGGCGCGGGGCGGGCGCCGAGGGCCCGGGGAGCGGCCGAGGGCGGGGCGGAGGTTGCCGAGGGGCGTGGGCGCGGCCGGCCAGGGGGAGGGGCGCCAGGGGGAGCGGCGCCTCCCGCCGGGGGGGGGGGGGGGGAGCGGCGCGCGGCGGCCCCGCGGCGGCAGAGTGCGGAGCGGGACGCCACGGCCGGGCCATGGGCGTGCAGTGAGCGACGCTGCTGCGACTTCTCTGGGCGGCGCGCGTCCTCGGTCACCATGAAAGGTGAGGGCGGCGGCCGGCTCGCGGGCGGCTTCCGCGGGAGGGCGGCGGGCGCGCGGCCGGGGAGAGCCCGGGAGCCCCGGGGCGCTGACCCGGGGCGCGGCGCGGCTGGGTCCCCGAGGCTGGAGGTGGGGAGGCGCTCGGGCGCTCTCCTCCCCGTCGTCGGTGTCCGCGGTGGTTCTGGAAGCCCCGGATCGTTGTTTACGGATCTCGGCTCCCAACTTAGTAATTGGAAAAACGTGCGGGGGAGAGGGAGGCACCGCCGTCCTTCCGGGTGGGTTGGCCGCGCTCGCCCGAGCCCCCGAGCCCGCGCCCGCCGACCCTCCCGCCGTCCCAGCCGTCGCAGGGCCACGGGCCGGCTGTTTTCCCCGGGACTCGAGATGTCCTCCGTGCGCGCGCCGCGCATCTGGCAATGATTAGGTGCCCGAGGAGCTCAGCTGGCTCGGAGAGCGCGTTTGGCATCTTCCTCCGTTGGATCCACTGACTGGAAAAATAACTGCTCCCCGTTCCGCGTCCCTTCCCCGGGCCTGCCCAGGGGATGGGTGTCCCTCCGTGTGCCCAGGGGGTGCCACAAATCTTGCTGTGATTGGCCCCCTAGGTGGTGTCCTCTGCAGGCGGGTTTGTGGAAGTGTCAGATTTTTATCTTGCCTCTGGAAGAATCTGGAGAGAGGACGCCTTGGGGGTAGGGGTGGGTGGGGGTCGGGGCCAGCCCTCGGTGCAGTGGTAACACGCGGGTTTGTCAGCGGAACCCTGATTTATGTGGGAGATGAACAGTTACGGTCGGGCCCTCCGAGAGGGGTGGTTAAAGAATGGGCGGGCGCGGTGTTTACGCAGGGCTGGGTTCCCGGTTGGGGCTGCGGGAACACGTTTCATTCCCAGCGCTCGCGGGCCGAGTGAGAAATGCCTCCCGAGTTTCCAGACCGCGCGCTGCGGTCGCTTTGGCTGACTGGGGCTCCCCGGGAGCTCCAGGAACTTGGAGAGTCACTTTGCCCCGGAGGATTTCTGTGAAATGAAGTTCCTGCCCATTCGTGGAGATCCCGGTGCTGTGGATTCAGTCGCCTTCCAGAGACTCTTGCGTCTTCACTGGAGGGGACTTGGGACCCCGGCAAGAAGCAGGACTATATGCCAGGTGCTAAGAGGCACAGACCAAGGGAAGGACACGCAGATCAGGCTCTGACTTTCTCCCTCGAGAGTTTGAAAATGCTGTGACATGCTTTCTTGTTCTGCCCTCGTTTCTCCTGCCTTATTTTCAACGCAGAAAGCACGCATGTTTCTTAGCCGGGGTTCCCCTGCCCCCAAGCGCGATTGAAATTAGACCCTCGGCCACTGAGCCGCCTCCGTTACTCCTCTCTGCTTTTCAGTTTGAGAAATACAGGGTCTCCCTAAGTTGAGGCTGGTCTCGAGCCTGCGAGCGCGGGTGTGAACTTGAGAACCTCCTGCCTCAGCCTTCCGAGTAGCGGGAGTGTCCGAGGACTGACTCCAAGGCAATCTTGGCAGCGGTTAGTTTCTCAATTCCCGGCAAGGCAAATCCCATCTCCACACCAGCGCTCTTTCTTCAACTCCAGCTTGGCGTAGTAATTGCAGTTTTAGGTCCTTCTCAGCAGGCTCAGCTCTGGAATGCAAGACACAACTACAGGTTTTAAACGCATTTTGGGTGAGAATTAATGAGTCACTGGGGGACCGGGTTGGAAGCCTTTAGAGAAGGCTCATGATTTACCTCTTGTGGTCCGAGCCCACTAGACCCCATCACTTTCTGCTTCCCGCCAGGGAGACTGGATCCAGGGACTGACGAATTCATGTGTAGGCTAGCCATTTTGAAGGCCTGTTTTGTTTTAATTGATTAGTTGATTAACTAGCGAGATCTCTCTCTATAGCCTAAGCTGGCTCCTGATTCTTTTTTCCCTAACCTCTAGCGCTAAGATAAGAGGTGTGTGCCACCACACCCAACTTGAAGACCTCATTTAATTAATGACAACAGGGTCTTCTGTAGCCCACCCAGGGTGCTGTACGGTAGAGTCTACTTACGTTCACCTCCTGAATTCTGGGGGTACAGGTACTGTGCCTGAGACACCAGACCCGCTAAAGTGCTGACGTTTTACTTTTTGGCAGTGCTGAGGAGTGCACTCAGCCTCTCCACACACAGTGTAATTATCTGGCACCTGGCCATAGGTAAACCCAGCAATGGAGTCCTTGGGATCCTGACTGTGTCATTCGTCCCTTAATTCATTTCACTTCCCTTGGAATTTGACTTTCCGACTCTGAAGGTTGAGGCAGGAGGATTGGTAGAAATGTCAGTGAGTACTTGGCTGGTCAAGACTACTTTTTTTTTTTCTTTTAAAAAATTCTAAGTGATGAAAGTAGTAAGACTTAAATGCTTACACACTGTCCTCAGCCTTCGGTAGTCACAGGTTCCACATCTGAGGACTCAGCTGAGGACTGAAGATAATTGAAAAAAACATGTCTGTGTTGAACATGTCCAGTCTTTTATCTTTGTCATGTCCTCAATGACACAGTGTAGCAACTATGTACACACATTGATCTTGTAAGTCATTTAAAGCTGGTTTAGGCATGTGAAGGATATATATCAGTTACACACAGTACTGTGCCTTTTTTTTTTTTAGGCAGGATCTCATACCCAAAATGATCCTCCCACCTCAGCATTGAGAAGGCTAGGATTAGAAGTATAAAAAAAGAATAATACACCACAATGCCTGGTGTATTATTTATTTAATGTGGTGGTAAGACTTGAACCCAGTACCTCCCATATGTTCTCCGTTATTGAGCTACAGCCACATCCTGGAACCATTTTGCTTGGGCATGAACACCCTGTAATTTGATGATGTGTAGGGTTTGGTTGTTTGGAACCAATGTCTGCCTGCTGAGGAACTCATCTTTACCATTCTTTAGTTAAACAAACCCTGGGTACCATCAAAATCACAGAGCTTCTCTTTCTGAAGCAAGCATTTTTAGAATATTCAGTTTTTTAAATTTCGATGCTTAAACCTCATGGCTTCTTCAGTAACCCCATTTTGTGTTGTCCCAGTCTACTCTGACTCAGAACAACACCTTTCTGTTGCATTCAGCAAACATCTGTCTTTGCTCTCTTGCTTCCATCCTGGGAGTCCCAAGTACCAAAATAATGAAATCATTCTATATTTCCAGAAGAAAATCTTTTATTCCATGCTTGCCATCTCCCAAGCTGAATAAAATAGTTTGTTTTAGTTTATTTCCAATCATCTCATGATGCCATAAATCTCATGGCTTTGTATAGTCACATTTGTTAAGGAAGGAATCTGACTCCTTTAGTTAGGCGACTCATTACTAAATCACATTCCTGGTTCTCAATGTTGAGAATTTTGGTGAGTTTCAAAGCAGCATCCCTGTTGCCTAAGAGATGAGTGAAAACAGCTAGCACCACATGGGACTACAGAGGTCCAAACCATGATTCTTATTCATCCCAGGGAGGTTGGTGCAGGCAAATGAGTGTCCAGGGGTTGGGATGGAGCCTAGTCGGTACAATGTTGCTTAGAATGCACAGAAACCTGTCAGTCTCCTGCAAGGCAAAACTAGGTATATGATGGTTCCCAAGGTAGAGGTAGAAAGCTTGGAAGTTCAAGCTCACCCTAAGGTATGTAGCCAGTCTGAGGCCAGCTTGGGCTACTGAGCTCTTGTCTTAAAAAAAAAAAAAAAAAAGGCAACACAAAGTTTAGCAGCTGATCTCTCTCTGTAATATAAACATTTGTGAAAGACTGCTTGGCAATAATACTTTAACTGTGCACTGGTCAGAGCTTTATTTCTGTCACCGTCTTCTTTCTCCCAAACCCAGTCAGCTTGCTTTCTCAGTCAATCTCGAAGGTGCTTTGCGCTGAGTGGGATAAGCACAGCAGCCTGTAAGGGTGAACCCTGTGTAATATATCACCTCGTGATCCCATTTTCTTCAGGAAAGTGAAAATGCAGCGAGAGTCCTCTTTGCTTTTGCTAGTTGGGCGTCCAAACTGCCCCTCCTTTGCAGAGCTAATTTACAAGCCAATTATGCTTTTGACTTTTCATTAGCTTAGAGGTTTTTAACCTTTGGTTTAATTATTGTTAAGTATGGATCTTCCCTGTGATCTACCATACAATTTCCCAAGATTTCCATGCTTTCCTTGCCCCAGGCCACCACCCCTTCGCCACGGGGCTCATCACCCAGGACGGTGTGTCAGGAGAAGCAGGCACATGGTAGCTTTCTAGCCGTGCTGTACCTGGATGGCCGCTTTTCTAACAGATGCTTATTTTAATGAAAATACTTCTAAACCTCTGAAGCCAGGGTATTAATATAGCCTTAAAGCTGATACCTAAAGTATTAGCCTTCAGGTAGGAAGACAGAGATTCAAGTTTAGTGATAGAAAAAGTATATTTGGCCTTGGGTAAACCTGGCACATGGCTCGTTCCTCTTGGAGGCAAATCTTACACAAGGCTTGGAGGAAGGGGTGAGGTCCCTGGAGAGGAAGCGCAGAGCAAACCAGCTTTCCTGCCAGGCAACGTTTGTCATCACAAAACATGGGCTATCTTAGTTTCTTAGTTGCCAGAGACTTGGCTGTGGCTAAAATACAGGAGGACAGGGATCGAGGTCCTGGGTTGGAAAACAAATGCCAAGGATGATGCCCATTCTTGTACATTTCTGATGGGCCATGTAATAGCCCTCAGTTCCTCCTTCCCTCCCTCTCTCCTTCCCTCTCTCTGTCCCTCCTTCTTTCCCTCTTTCCTTATTCTTTAGTTTTTTTTTTTTGTTGTTGTTGTTGTTTTTTTTTAGACAGGATTTCACTGTGTAGCCTTTGCTGTCCTGAAACTTGCTCTGTAGACCAGGCTGGGCTCAAACTCAGAGATCACTTGTCTCTGCCTCCCAGATTAAAGGTGTGCTAAAACACTGCCTGGCTTTTATTTTTCCTCTTTAGTAATACCTATTGTTTCTTAGGCTCCTACCATGCCAGTCATTGTTACTTGTTATTTAATATTGGTAGGTT